TATCCTTATCTCAACCAGCAAAAACCCTTGTTCCTTCCTATTATTGCTTATACTCTCTCTACAACAAAATTAGAGATAAGGGCAAAGTAGTTTCTGATGGGTATTGAGGGAGGGGGCAGAGTGGGTGGTAAGGGAGGGGTGGGGGCAGGGGGGAGAAATGACCCAAGCCTTGTATGCACATATGAATAATTAAATACAAAAAAAAAATGAGGGAACTGTACAAATGAACGATAACTCAGCCAAAGCCACAACTGGTAAATAGAGAAACCATAATCAAATTCTTGCAGTCAATGTTCAGATTCAAAACTTTCAACCACACAATAAATTGCCTCGAAAATTAATGAAAACTCAACACAGAAACTGGGCAAATAAGACAGCTATTATCATTAGCTAATATTAGCTATTATTATTACCATTACCATTACTAGAATTAACTTTAAGTATTCATTATAACACTGAAATTTAACACTGTAAATGACAAATGAATAAACCTACATAGTTGTATTTATACTCTTATCCATAAATATTATAAAATAAGTACATAATTTCAAATATGTAAAGTATGTTACTCTTACAAACATCCAAAGGTAATATCTATTTATCTTTGCACAAATAAGATTCATAATTTTGATTCGTATTTAAAGAAAAATGTATACAGTGAATAATACCTTGAAAAATATTTAGGAGTTAAAAGTTTCAAGACTATACAAGAAAAAAAAATTTCAAAAACTAATATTAAGGGCTGGTGGAGTGGCTCAAGCGGCAGAGCACCTGTCTAGTGAGAGTTAGGCCCTGAGTTCAAACTCTAGTATCATCAAAATCAAAATTTCTTTTTAAGTTATTTCTAAATTTTAACTGGGAAAATGTCTCCGTAGAAACCACTTATATATAAAGTATTTATTGAACAGATCATTCCATTTCTTCTAATTTCATCCTTATGTCCCAATGACTTTTATCCATCTATTTATATACACATACATAATTTTTTTAAATTTCAGAATAGATGTACCTAGTACTCCCCACTCCCAGAAGGGACCAGGTTTTCTTGTACAATCTTCTAGAGAAAGTGTAAGCACACACAAGCATATATGCATATATATGCATATACATGAACGTATGTATGTATTTGAAAGAAAAGCACACATAGACACTAAAAAGTACATTACATAAACTATTCTACACCTTCCCAAATTTTTTCCTGGAAAGATACTGAACTATTCTTTTATTCAAAAACAGTTCTATGATGCTTAAGGTCTCTTTAATTAATTACTACAGTAACAAATAGAAAATATCAAAAAGCATGCAAAAAACAATTTCACTCATAATTCTAATCCCTCAAATTTATGTGTTTCCTCCCTTCATTGTATAATACACATTCATGGTACAGGCTACATGGAATACAGAACAGATGACGTCCGGTGACTTTTTTTGGTGGTACTGGGGTTTGAATTCAGGGCCTCATGCTTGCTAGGCAGGCACTCTACCACTTGAGTTAATTCTATCAGCCCTTTTTGTGTTGGGTACTTTTCTAGATAGGGTCTTGGGAACTATTTGTCCAGGCTGGCTTCTAATTACGATCCTCTGGATCCCTGCCTCCTGAGTGCCTAGGATTACAGGCGTGAGTCCCTGGCGCCGGGCATCCTGTGATTTCTCAGGAACACATAACATTAGATGCTATGACTTCACAAGTTAACGACCTCAGAATTCTAGTTCAACTTACTCCTACTCCATGGTTGTTCTACCCTGGAGACTTAAGCTGACTCAGTTCCCTAGAAATATAGAAAAGAATGCTTGGACACGACTTAATAATCACATAAAGTTTACATTTTTTTCACACTGAACCTGTTAGTCTAGCTTGAAATACCTCCCACAGGACAGAAAGGTAAGTAATTACCTACTCTGCTAAGGATCCCACTTCCACACTCATAAAATCAAACGCCTCACCACCACAATCCAGTCACACTGCTTTGTAGGATAGGATACCAATCGCTTTTTAAGTTCAATTGTTACTTAAACCCAGAATCAACAAAGCAAATATAGTAAGAAAGAAACCCAACTTCTGCATACTGGCAGCAAATGCTGCAAAACCAAGTTCAAGTCCTTGGGCATTCCTGCCCTCTGCTATCGTGGGGGATCAACTACCTCGAGATAGAGCAAGAATGGTGTCATGTCCAAATATCAGTGAAAACAGCATGGAGATGTTTTAAAGTACAGTTCTACTATGTACAGCACTGATATCATTTCTTGAAATGGCAAGACCAAGGAAACCTACCAGTTTCTTTTGATCTCAAAATGTCAATTTAACTCACCAATTGTAACTTTTCCTAATATTTCAGTTTCTTTCTAAAAAAAATTTTTTTTAAATCATCCTCTTTAGGCGTATCTTATAGATACTGCGATGTGTGTGCAGGCGCCGGGGCTTCTGCCTGGAGCTGCAGCTGAAACAGGACCTTGAACCCTTGACAGTCAGTCTCAGAGAACTGAGCTGGCCCAACTGATGTCACAGTTTGAACCACACTAACAGGAACGGTCTGGACTTGGGGAAAGGGCAGAGAAGCAGGTCAGGTTCTAACCAGGTAGCTTTGGAGAGGGGACTGTCTCCGCGACGGGTAGCCTACGCCCCCGACCGTCCGCCGCACTTCCGGGCTCGGGCCGGCGGGGCCCGAGCTCGGCGTCGCCCGCGGCTCGCATCAGCTCTGGCCCGCAGCCCCCGTCCCCGGAGGCCTGCATACGGCTCACCCGTCCGCGGCCGCGGCCGTACCTGCTGAGAAGCAGCGAAGCAACGCTGAGGCACAGCAGCAGGAAGCAGAAGAGAGGGTACTGACGACAGATCTCGCGTCCTACGTCCAGCCGCAGCCGCTGCTTCAGTCTCTCCCCCATCGCCCGCAGCCAAGGCACCATCTTCTTCCGCGCGGCCGAGGCCGAGGTGGAGGAGACCCTCGCCGGCCTTTCTTGCCAGTGCCTGGCCGCCCGGCGGCGGACCCACATACCGCCACCGGCGGACAGGCGCGGCCAGCTGCAGTCGCCTAGGCCCCGCCCGCGGCCCCCGCTGCGCTTGCGCAGCCACCGCCCCCGCCGGCCGGAGGGACGGTCGCACGACGTGCCCGAGGTCGCCACCCCAGGGTCCCTAGCGTCATACGGCTCAGCCCCCCTATCAGATCCCATGCTTCCGCGACCAGCTTTTAGGAAACCGACTGGCAGCCTAGAATGCGGTAACCTCCTGTAGCGCGGACAAGAAGGTTATTACCGAGCACCGCGGACTACTTAAGTCCCCTGCAGCCGCTACCCGCGGCGCCCGGGGCTCGCGAAGCCCGCTGGGAACTGTAGTCAGCGAGGCGAGCCCTGCCCGCGATGGGGAGCGGCTTGGGGTCCTCCCCGCCGCGCTCCAGCTTCCCAGCTCCCGGGGCCGCAGGCCCGAGCCCCAGGCGACACGCAGGAGAGAGGAAGGAGCGGCGCCCTGCGGATACGGGAGTAGCCAAACCGCCCAGCCCGCTACCACTGGAGAGCGCTCCTTTTGTGCTTCACTGGCAAGGGGCAGCTCAGTTCACAACACCCCGGATCTCACCTAAACCCAAGTGTTGGACTAGAAGCCCGTGTTCTTAATCCATCTCACTTCTCCGCTGCTCTTGAGAGATGCAGGAAGACATTATCGTACTAACAGCAAAAATGTACTTAGGCGGCGCCCTAAGCACTTTTATTTAACGTTCGCACATTGACCCCACGACGTGGGTACTCTAGTTTCAATCATTTTACCCCCACATTACTGAGGCACAGGCTCTTGCTCAGGATCATACAGCTAGCAAAACCGG